TATTCATGAACAGCTGGTGGCTCATGGCTCTCCTCAGCAGCTTTCTCAGGGAGAAGTCTGCAACAGGTCGTCATGCCGGAGGTGAAGCCCAGGCCAGATTCAAAACCTGCCTATTTCAGGTCATCAACTGGATTTTATTATTTAGAAAGTAAATGTTATTTACAACTTTTCACATTGAAATTTAGAAAGTTCCATCTTATTTTCTTTCTCCAATAAAGAAGTTTAAAAATCATCCAGAGGTTTGTTAATGAATGTTCATTACGTCAAAACTTTGAATGTTAAGCTACTTTCATTTAATGTGTATAGACATAAAAATACTCAAAAATTTGCATAACAATGTTTTACACTTTAATCAAATTTCTTCACATAAAGTTGGTAGTTAAACTTGTTATTTGACAGAAAAAGAAAAACTAATACAATGACAGAATCACCAGTCCGATGGGAATTAGCACAGCAGGCGCTAATAAATAAAATACATTATTATTATCATTGTTATCAAAGGAGATAATACTGTATTTTAGGATATTGTTGTGCAGATATATTAAAATACAGGATTCTTCTCTATTTTACATCTTCTGAGCAACATTACAGTCTATCAATGTGTGTAAATGTTTAAGTATGCAGTGGATAGTGTCTTCACTTGAGTAATTTAGAAGTACATGAGTGTCTGCATTTGTGACTTTTTTTGGCCTGAGTGAGATAACAAGAAGAGCCCAGGAGGCTGTCCCTCTGAAGTCAGCGCTGCATGCAGTGTTTACCCACCACATATTGAGCAGTGTTTGTCCAGAAAGGCCCACTGGGGCTCTTAGACCAGCTGTTAGTCCTGGCACACACACATTGGCCTAAAAACAAATATCTCTTCCCCCGGATGGAGAAACAAACACACAGCAAACACTGATATCACCTCACATAGCCCTTCAGTTCAATCGTCTCCTCCACCTTACGCCTCATCACACATATTATAATTATCAGTGCAGAGTAATTAACATCAAAATTAGGACCCGTATTTGCATATCTACCATCATTTGCATATATGCCCAGGAGCCCACCTAACATTCCTCCTCATGCTGTGAAGAACCAGGAAGAAGCACAATTATTTTATCTAACAACTCAAGCAGCCATAAAAATCATTCCATACCAAGCACTAAAAATGATTTGCCCCCTCAAAAATATTTTCTTTTGTTGCTCCTTTTTCGCACTTGATTTTTAAGATCAGGTTGTCTTCATCTGATATTTAAATTGTTGTTTGTGATATAAAACAGTTTAAAAATACCAACATATTTAAAGATGTTATCACTTCTTCACACCTCCCTATGTTAAAGTTAAAAAGATGAGAACCGTAAAATCAAAGTAGGCTGGTAGGAACATGTAAAGACGGACAGAATTGAAAGACTCTGGGAATCCAGAAAAACTATAGGAGGGCTATATGGAGAGGTTTCCTAAAGACATAACCACAGAAGAATAATAATGCAACCCTTTCAAAACAAGAAAAGGCAAAGAAAGATAGAGGCTATACAGCTGCCCCATTTATATATCTCACTTAAGCCCATAAAGCTTTGGAGTAAAATCCATGACTGAAGAAAGGAGACCAGCAGCAGCTCTCAAAATCAGGACCAGGGCTGTTCAAGCATGGGGAAAAGAAGTGAGGAGCAGAGTGACAAAACATCGCTCTCTCTGTGGCATTTGCCCTCTGAATGGCATCAGCTCAGCGGAGCAGAACAGCCAAGAGTGATGCAGAGTCAAAGGAATAAAGAGGAGGAGGCAGGCAGAAAAACACAACAGAGGGAAGAAAGAGAACAGAGAGGACATGAGTGACAGTAAAGAGGTGAGGCGCAACAGGACGAGCAGAGCACTTCCCATCAGACACTGTTTCACCAGTCACTGCACAGAAGAGGGGAACCTGCGTAATGCCTCTGAGTTCCACATTGCTCTCACTATTTATGTTCAGGCATGGATAACAACTGGATGGCTCTGTTGGAAAGGTGCCTGTAAATCTGATTTTGTTTCTTTCTGGGTTTTTGTTGTTGTTTTTCATCTACCTTTTTTCTTTAGATCCCCTCACAACCTCTCAGGTTGCATGGTCTGGTACTCATCCACCCTGCTCTACTTTACAGTGTCTTATGTAAAGGCATTCAGCTGAAAGTCATCTGTCTCATGCATACTGTAAAATGCATTCTGCTGAGCTTGTAAAGCTTCAAAATCTGCACATACACAAAACATCCCTCAATGTCTCTTATGCAAAAGCCAAACATCCAGGAAGCACTCTGAGAAATTGATCTACTTTTAAAAAGAGGAAATGGCTTCACTCGACAACGAGAACTCTTACTCAAATGCTGGAAAATGAGTGACATAATACTTCCCTGGACCGCAGCGAGGATCACGCTAACTGGAAGGTGCAATAAAAAAAAAGGAAAACAGGGACTGAATTCAGAAGAGTGAGTGTTTTGACCTCACGTTCAATAATAAATACATTTGCTAGGGTCTGCAAAACAATAAGTACCCTAAACCAAGACTTATATTTTGGAATCACAATCACCCTGCAACTGTGTTCAGAAGACAAAAACTAATTATTTAGATCAAATTAGTTGTAGTTTGTTTTTTACATCTGATTATACTTTGCTAAGGCTTATCAGCTTAGATCACTTGATTAGATTAGATTTTAAAAAACAATATTAAGATAAAACTTAGTGGAAGAAAGCATATTTTTAATTACAGTAGGAACTGAATCCCAGGTCAGTTTATCTGAATTGTAAATCTGTAAATGACACGGTTATTCATAAATTAAACAAAATAAGAACCTGTAATAAAGTTAGTCAGTGATATTTATTTACACTATTAAAACCAATCAGGTGTTTAACAACCTCGTAATGCAGTAAGAGGTTTTTCATGTTACAATTCCTTCATTTATCCAAAAGGGATACATGAAGGCTGTAAGGATGAATTATTCTTAGTGTATGCATAATAAGGTATGTTTTCTTTTCCCATCATTACCAAGACCTGAAAAATAGTTAAATAAAATAGCTCAATCGTTGAGACTTGTGCAGGCTGCGCACAAATCTTGCACGGGGTTATGGCATCCTGTCTTCTTCCCAAATGCATTAGTGACATGTGAAGAGACATTAATTATGAAGACATGCAACTGTTTCAGCCAATACTAGACAGACTTTCTTGTAGACTTTCATTAAAAGAGCAGAGCTGAATATATCCACCTTTGAAACCTAAATGAGATGATGAAATCTCCAAAGAAAGTGACACTTCTCTAAACTTAATACAAACCTACTTAGTCTTCTCACTGGCTATAGAGCATAAGGAGGACTTTTATAAACAGAAAAAATAATGATAATGTTTGCTTTCGCGCAGACAGCCCATCCTGGCGCTCCTCCCTCTAGAGACCCAATTAATACCGGTGTAAACCACCGCTTCCCTTCGCTGGCAACAACAGTCACCACAACGTGTGTCACACGTCTCTGTATGCGTATGCGTACAGAGACAGTGTGTGTGTGTGTGTGTGTGTGTGTGTGTGTGTGTGTGTGTGTGTGTGTGTGTGTGTGTGTGTGTGTGACAGAGAGAGACGGAAGAAGTAGAAGATTTGAGAATATCATAGGGTGAGGATGTGATTAAATACAGCATGGCTGCCCTCTCTGAGAATTTATCATAACACATTAAAATTTTCTTCGAATTGCTTTGCAACTGGCAACTAAACATCAAAATTAGACAAATTATAGGCTCATACTTATGATGGATAACATCTTAAAAGGTATTCAGCAATAAATAGCATAAATTCTGTTGCTATTCAATTCAATAATTAGCTTGTTTCTTAAACTAATTATTGTGAAATTTTTGGAATGTGCATTTTGATGCATTTTGAGCAAAAAGAGTTTAAAAGATGAGTAAATTCATCAATTTCTTTATAAATAATCTTAATTTTTTTTCAAACCCAGTCCATAGAGCTTGTTCCCCAGCTGCCCGTTTAAGATTTTGTTCACTCCTAGAAATCTGATACAAATGAATGACTGGCCTCCTGAACAGGTCATCAGTTTCACCAGAAGCTTATTAATCACCAATCAATTTGAATTATCTGTATGAAAGCAGGACAGTTTTTTCTTCCATCAGCAAGATTGGGAAAAAAAAAATTACACTGGGTCTTAAGCATTTTAAAACCTGAGATACAATTTCTTATTTCTAAAGCTTTGATTTTTTTTATTTTATTGTTTTTGTCAAAATAAAAGTTTACATTTGTAATTAAATTTAAAAAAAAGGCTTTTCAAGCAATGTCCCCTGGCTACACAATACTTCTTCCACTTCACTCAGATTAAAAATTACAAGAATTCACTTTCTCACTCTACCTAAATTACATTTCTAGCCCCATTCAGACGATCAAGACAGAAAATAACTCCTCAGGGATTCCTGGCAAAACTAATGAAAGTTCTTCTATTTCTCACTGAAAATAAGGTGAAACTTTTTGCTCTCAGTACTCTTGTTCACGTGTCTGTGTGCAAAGCTTAAAATGTAAAATATTTCAGACATTCACATTTAAAACTAAGAATTTATGTTTTGCCAAAGAACTGAAACTGAAATAAGAAATTAAACAAACGGCATTCAGCTTACAGCCTAACTATGAACATTGTCGTTTGAAACTAATTGTGAACCTTACAAATTGCATGCCATGGACACGCAGCACGTTTATATATAGTACACGATAATGGTGCACAAAATGACCACAGGATTAATAAATAGTAATTATCTAGGCAGGTACCACTATAATCTGCCTTCACTTGAATTGAGCACCTGCTCCATGTCGCCTGCGCACCTCAAGTCAATCAAGGGAAGTACAACTACTGAATATTCAGCAGAACTTCACCAGAGTCTCATCTGAAAATCGTAGCAACGACTGTCACTTCAATTTCCAACTTGTGCAACTCAAGCGTCCAAATTGCGACTTCTGTTCCAAAAACCAACGAAGCTCATTTGCCCGTCCACTTTTGTTTTCGTGCGCCTACCTTTCCCACCGAGAGCGCAGGAGGAGCCGGAGAGAAGCCAAAGCAGCACGAACGGGACGCCGAGGACGTGCATGTTGTGCCGAGCCGAGCGTGTGAAGTCTTCGCGTGCTCTCCTACCTCTCCTCAAATCCTGGCTCACCTCGCGAGCGCGGGGATCTGCTCAGCTGGACGGTCGCGCGAAGGAACCTTGGAGGGTCGAGAGACACTACCGATGTTAGAGAGAGAGAGAGAGAGAGAGAGAGAGAGAGAGAGCGAGAGAGAGCGGCGCCGACGTCCAAGCAGCGTCAATTCACTACAGTTTACGGATGTGGAGTTTCAAAGTAAAGCAAGGTGGGGCGATTGTGTTGCTTTCAGTCAAGCAAAGACTTTCTAAAAGTCTGTATAAACAAAAAAGTTAAAAATATTAGGAATTTCGCTAAATTTATTTGGATTTTTTTAAAGCTTTTAAATCATACAAAAAAAAGTTCAAACGCTGTGCAATTTTATGTTGAAGAATGAAATCGATGCGAAATCGTGACTTGTTTTGGCATGCTTGACTTCACAATTTATGGAAAAATAAAATAGTAAAAGGCGATGGAAAATTTAACAAAAGCAAGTGATTTATGTAGATACTGAGAGGAGTTATAACGTTTCTGAAATGTGCAGTTGCAACAATAATCCTTAACGCGGTATGAGTCATTTTTTTCGTTTAGGTTTTTGTAATCTTTATTGTGACAAATATCCTGTTCTGTTCATCGATTCACATTCACTTATTCCGCCGCATTTCATGTTAATGTCGGTTTGGAGTTTTCCTGATTGCTCGCTTCCATGTCTGGTTATTGTTTTGCAACTATTTTATTCAAATTCTGAGCTGTCTTTTCCCGTCTGCGACTTTTTTGGTGTTTTTCTCTGTTATTTGCCGGATCGGAATCAGCATGATGTGATTTTTTGTTGTTGTTGTTGATGTTTTCACCTGAGAAGAGACTCTGATCATTGCAGCTTTACTCCCCGTCGCAAAACTCCAAGTCTTAAAGTTTGTTTTTGTTTTCCCTGAAGCAGAATCACTGCTGTGTGTTGCTCAGCAATTCCCCCTGTGCTTCTTCTTCTCCTGAATATAGGTGTGCATTCTGGGGATTAGAGGGAGGAGAAGATCATGAGTGATTCAGAATCATAACCCCCATTGAGTGGGCTGTGAAAAAACCCACTCAATGGGTTCTATCATAACCCACTGAGTGACTACAATACTAAAAGCAGATAGAGCTCAAGACGCTAATGGACCAGGGACCTGTCCAGGGTGTACCCTGCCTCTTAGCAAGCTTTGCTCTATTTATTGATATCGTAGAATATAAGTAATGATCAAATAGAAACCCACAAATGAACACATCTAAACAAATAAGTAAGTACTAGTACTGCTAGTGCGGTTACTACTACAACTAATGATACCGCCACCATCATCATCGTCATTAAAGTAATTAATTACACCTAAAGATTGTTCTCTTAAGAAAGCTCAAGCTTAAAATATCACACACATTAATTTTACTAGTATGTTAAAACATGACGGAACACTTTGATTTATGGAGTTCTATAAGGAAACTAATTGCAACACAATTACAGTGTTTTGAGCACCTATAGTTCATTGAAGCACCATGCTTTAGAACCATGGACAGTTCCTTCACTGCTGTTTCACGTTTCCCCACAAGGGGACGCACTTTTGCTTGTTTCAAAGTGCGGAACCTTTAACGGTCTACTTCACGGAGCAGGGGGAGTGGAATGATAGTTACACGCCGACCAAATGTGAAAACTGAAGGTAACAAACCGATGAGGGTTTTTCTTATGAACTGATGTGTGGGTTGTAATATAGAGTTCCTTTGTATTTTATTATCACAGTATTTAAATGGTTCAAGTGTCGAATAGGGCGCTGCTCTGATCGATCAGCGAAGCCGATTATTGTTTCCTGGCATCTCAATGTCAAATCGGTGTTTATCAGTTTTGTTGTCATATAACACCTTAAACTCGATACATTAGAGTATGAGTGCAATGAACACATTGGAATATGGATTCATTGCACATAGAGCGATATGTTTTTAGTGTTTTATTGTGGCTTACAGCTGATCAAAGCCCTAAATTCGGTTGATCTAAAGTTAATCATTTTACATGGACAAAATTTGATTTGATCTTCTTTTTTTTTTTTTGGTCTACAACTGTCTGATTTCACGTGTTAAGCCAGATGAATAAAAATGACAAGTCTTTTTGGACGAAACTACAATTATCCTTTCATTTGGAAATTATGACTGCAGATTTGAAGGAGAGTGGGAAGTTTCCACAGTCAGTTGGGATTTGAGGAGCCATGCATTCTGCTGGTGTTGGTCCACAGTCCTTATGAAGTCCAAACTGAGCATAGACAGCTGATAGAACATTTGAAAGTATTTGTTTTCACTTTGTTCTGAAAGCTAATATTTTGTGCATTTGATGGAGAAAACTCAAACAAATAAAAACATCTTTTTAACATTGAATTCAGTTCAACCAGCTAAGTGGTAGATGCTACTTTTACTTGTGATTGTGCACATCATTAAAGAGCCTCGTCTGATGCGACTATTTAAACTAACCTTGCACTACGTGGAAAAGTCATTTGACCAAAACGCCATCAGTGGCACAGCCACATTCAGCAGAGTTTGCGAAACTGACGAGTCATTTACATAAACGTGAAGAAAATTTTGATCGATACCTCTTTGTTGATTTAATTCATCTGATTTCTGGAACACTAAAGAACTTGTTTTTTTAAGGCAGTAAGAATCAGAGATGAACTTGCTGGTGTGCTTCAGGTGTGTCATACTTCACAGCCCAACTGTGTCTGAGATGAAAGTCAAGAACTGATAGCCAAAGATTCTCCGTTAGGACATTTAGAACAGGATTCAAGGTTTCATTGACAGCAAGCCTGAATTGGCAAAGCAGATCTAACACTGTTTAAACTTGTAAACTGTATAGAAAAAGAGTGAGATTATGTTATGTTCATCTTAGAGTGATTAAGTACGACTTATTCTCTCAGAAAAACTTGTAAATAAAGAACACCTTTTAGATGGAAGATAATGTATTCTTTCTCTCAATTTCATTGAAAAGTTTGGAGTAAGACTTTCCTCTACTTTCCTCTCAGGTTACTCTGAGACCAGGATGGCCTCCTGTCGCGTTCCACTGGTTTTGTTAGCCTGCGGCTCTTTTAATCCAATCACCAATCAGCACATGCGGCTATTTGAGCTGGCCAGGGACCACATGCACAGTACAGGTCAGGTCCGAACATAACAGACACAGCGTCTACTTCCTGCACTGCTTTTGTTGTGGCTTTTTGGCATTAAAACTATCCAATTAGCGTCAAAGCAGCTAGAGCATTAGACTGACGTCCATCAAGTGAATGTAATGTGATTTGGTTGCCTGCAGATCAACAGTACTGTTCAGGCGTACTTATTGTTATCACCAAAGTAGTTATTTATAGCTTTGGTTATAAAATTCATCCATCCATTATCCAACACGCTTATCCCTTGTGGAGTTGTGGTTAGGGTTAGGTTACCCTAAACTCTATCCTGGAAGATTCCTGGCCTGGAATCGAACCCAGGACAGTTTTGCTGCACGGCAACAGTGCTACCAACTGAGCCGCTGAGCAGCCCCCAGTTGTGAAACTATTCTTTTAAATGAACCTCTTCTCAACTACGTAATCCAAAGAGTTCAAACAAGAATGGTTTCTAACAGAATTGGGGACCTAAAAATGTATATGGCGAAGAAATTGGTAAATAAGAAATAAGCTTAGTGATCAGTTATTTAATTAGTATTATGTTCTGCCCCTCAACTAGCCGGTCCAAACCTTCTGCAATGCTGCACACAGGCTTGTAGGTAGCAGTGCAGAATCTACATAAAAGCACCTGTTCAGAGACTGCCTGGTCATTTTTGTCATTTTACAGAGCTTTTATGTCATGAAATGCATAATATTGAACTGGAAGGAAAATTACATATGCTTTACAAAAGTTATTGAGAAGCAAAAAAACCCCAAAAAACCAAAAACAGTCCACCTGTGTGTGATATAATCTCAGTTAAAAAATCTGTTTTCGGAAGTTCTGAACAAACACTTAAGTTTACTTCAATTCTTTTACATCTATGTTGCCTTTGTTGTGTATTAAAAAGGATTTTGTTAATAAAGACTGCTATACCCTATGTGTCGATGCATATCTGCATACAGACAGCATGTCATGCGTACCTGATGAGCTGGAACCTGGCTTTGTTAACAACATTACTGAAGGATCATTAGATCTTTGTGGTTATCATAAATACCACCTAGCAAATGTTGCTCCAATTTTTGAATATAGAATCAGGATTTAGCTGCATTTTCATAATACCAGCATCACACAAAACATAAATCATTTTATATACATATGTAACACATCACAGCAGAAGTGTTGGTGAGAACAAGAAGTCAGCAAGAAGAAAAACAACTAATGTTAACATTTATAAATCTTTCTCATGCATTTCCTGAAACGCTCCTTAAACATGGCAGCTTTAGTAGCTGTAAAATACAGCTGGGTTTGTGTCAAGGTCCTAACAGTATCATTATGTTATATCATCCCTGTGTTGGATCTTTTGTGAATGCATGCGTAGTGCACATTATAGTTTCCATGAACACACATCCTGGAGGACGCAGGACATAGAGGAACTATGTTTCTATAAAAGGGAATACCTTATATGTATGTTGGATAGTTGGATGGATGGATGATTAATGCTCTTGCATGCTTTTCTTTGACCATTTTTATCTGATTTGCCTTAAAGTGCACACATATCTGCTGTTTTTCTTTTTGTTTGTGCCACAGTTGCGTTGCAGTTCTGATTTTTTTGTAAAAACAAAGTAATGTTGCAAGGCCTAAGCTATGCAGTTTGTTACAGTGTAGATCGATTAAGTCATGGCCAAGCACTCATATCACTGAGTCATAATAAAAGCAAGTCACATTTAAATGTCAGATCTAATGAAACATTCAGGACGCAACCTCATAATCTCTATGAGGATACTTTATCTTCTGAATAAAGTTTTTTTTCTTTATTGACTGTCATGACCTGGAAAAACGGCTTTAATAATCTCTCTCCTCAGGCCGGTATGAGGTGTTGGGGGGCATTGTGTCTCCAGTGAGTGACGGATATGGAAAGCAAGGTCTGGTCCCAGCAAAGCATCGGATTTCTATGGCTAAACTGGCCCTTCAGAGCTCTAACTGGGTCACAGTTGATGAATGGGAGAGCCAGCAGCCAGACTGGACGGAGACTGTGGTCACTATGAGGTATAAAACACTTTTACTGTACAGTTTAAAAACGGCCATGTTTGGAAAAGCAGACTGAGAAGTGAAAAAATGCAGTGCTTTTGGTTTTAACCTGTTCTGGTGCGTGCAGAAATGCATATGTGGGCGGTAGTCAAATGGCAAATGGATTATTTCAGTAAAATATAAAGAAGCAACCGAAGTACTGCAGAGTTATACAAATAATTAAGGGAGACGAGTGAAGCTGTCTTCGGTAGAAATCAAAGTGGAGCATGCATCAGCTGAAACAGTTAACAGCAACATGTATCTGGCAGAAAGAGAGGAGCTTAAGTGCTGCTGGGGATAATGAGGTGAGTGGATAGAAGTAAGTAAATGAGGACTAGGCAGCAAACATTGGGGACATGGTGAGGGTAGCTGAGGATAAGAGCAAGTGATGAGAGAAAACCTAGCTCAAGCAGATCAACAATTCAATTCACTCCAATTGAGTTCTAATTATAATGGAATTTAAAACACAAGTTGATAAAACATCATCTGTCTACAGTCCAGCAGGAAACAGCGACTGGGGACTCAGAGTCCAGAAGTGCTTTTGAGTTTGTGGCAGCAATAGCCTCATTAGTGGCTTCATACTGGAGCGAAACTGAAAAATGCAGAGTACGCTTTTAGATTTTGTCATGTTACAACCGCAAACTTCAAAGTGATTAACTGGTATTTTGTGTGAATATGTAAAGTTGAATTGTAGAGCTGGAGGAAAAGCCGTTGAAAGGATGCAAAAGACTTGAGACTGTATAGCAAGAAAATGACCCTAAACATACAGTTAGAGCTACAAACCAATGGTTTAGATTAAATGATATGATCGCTAGAATGATCAATACATGCACACTGGCTAAGCTTTCACAGTATAATTTTCTTCACGCTTCGCAGTAAATCGCTTCCTTGAAAGTCTGATGACGTACATTGAATTGTGATTTCAGCATGGCAAAAATATAAGAAGCTTAAAGTTTATGAATGATTTTTATATACAATGTCCACCATTGTATATGAGGTGGCATTTAAACGTAATTGCTAATTAATTTGGAAGCGTATTCTCGGTTTATTGTAAGCAACATATTTTGAATCGCATTTTAATGCGGAAGCAGCTATTATAGTTTTACAGCAGTTCTAATGGGCTTTACGAGGAAGATGATGTCAGCCCTTCACCATGTCAGCAGTTCTCTACTGCTGTCACTGTTTCTAAGATGCAGGTTTATTGTCTGACTGGCAGCGAGGCTGAACTTGCTTTCCTATGGAGTGAAAACAAGGTCCCAGGTTGTTAAATTTATTGAATCAACAGTGGCAAAAGCTTCTATGAAGCCACAGACGCAGAAAGATGGAGACTGCACTCTCAAGACTGCTAAGCTGGTTGCCTTTGTTCACTAAAGCAATTTGTCTTCCCTGGGTGAGGCTCTTCATTGCTGTAAGGACATAAGATATCTTTTGTTTATATTACTGTAATTCTTTGCATACTCGCCCCCCAAATCTAAGACTGTAAAACTTTTCTTGGTGGATCTGGGTGAATCTAGATCCTTTATCATTAGATGCTCAGGCCTGATTGAAAAAGGAAATATGCAAGGAAAATGTTTAACCAGTGCATATTCTGTTTTTGTTCAGTGGAATGCTGCTGGATCGTTTTTGCAGTTCATATTTATTGCTCATTTTTGGTGTTTGTTGCTGATATGTTCATAGCTTATATGATATTCTAGTGAGCTGAGGTTGTGTTTTTTGACATATGCAAGAGAATTTAAATATTGATCAAAGCATTGAAAGCTCCGAATGCAAAGCTTACACACAAAAAATGTATTTGATATCTTATAGATATCTTCTTTTCCACTTTTTTGCAAATTCTTCAGGTCGCACAACACATTTTAATGTGCAAGAAAGATAATCTAAGTGAATAGAAACAGCAGTTTTTGAATGATTACTTCATTACGACGGAAATCCATGCTAAGCTTTCCATATGTGGAAAAATGTAATTGCTCATACTTGTCATAAATTAATTGTGATTAATCATATTTTTAAGATCAATTTTACTTACCACACAGGCTGGATTTTTGTCAGATCTGCAGTAACAGGAAGTATGTCAAACAGAACCTGCATTACAACTTGAAATAGGCTAAAAGATGGATTGTACACAAGCTGTTGACTTGTGTGAATAAAAGTCATTTCTATGGCTTTGGGACTCCAGTAATCTATAGGGAGAGTCATCATTCGCAAATGGAGAAAACGTGGAGCAGAGGAGAACCTTCCAAGAGGTCAAAATAAATACAGAATAACGTTTTCGGCGCCGCGAGACTCACTTACCTCATTTAATAAATTCAGGATTTAACAATAACAAATTGGACAAAAATGGGAATCTCCAAGGTGAAAAATTGCTGCTGGCAAAAAAAAAAAAAAAAAAATAACAAAAAAAATCAAAACAAAGCTCTGTCTCCCATTTGTCAAAAATATTTAAATTCTTTTCATTCTCATCCAGAAAATCCTAAAGGTGAATGTGTAACGATCAGTTTGTGGCCTTATGCTCAAGCCCACTTCGCTTGCGCATCAGGACAATGCAAAGCTCACCAGCAAGTCAACCTCTGAATGGATGAAAAAAATCATGTTCTGGAATATCCTAGTCAAAGTCTGTATAAAAAAATGTGATTCAGATGCTGCAGAATAAATGTCTACACAATAGTCATCCTTGAAAACCCTTTATATGGCACTGAAATAAAACAATTCTACCAAAAAATGTGTGCTTCTTCTCAATGATGTGAAAGCAAACACATAACGGCAGATGATGATGCCAGGTGACGTCGACAGTTATTAGGTTTAGGGAGTCAACACATTTTAAAATAGGATCAAGTTGGTTTGAACAATTTCTTTGTCAACTTTATGTTGTATTTGCGCAAGTTATGTTTGTCTGGTATCAACATTTTTGAAGATCTGATGTTAAGTGACAAAAGTGTAAAAGTAAGAGAAAATAAGGGGACAAACTTTGTGACTCAGGGTTTCGGCTAAAAGCATCTGCTTGTATTTTTTGTATTTGCCATCATCCATCTATTTGCATCATCATTTTGTTCCTGTTCCCCACTTTTCACAAATCGCCTCATGACTGGACCCACATTGTGCTACACGCCGCTAGTATATAAGCTGTGTTTGCGCAACACATGTGCTTATTATCAGAAATGAAGTGGACCGTTGTGTTGAGGCCGTAAGGAGGCAGCGTCACACATTATGTCGTTCCCCCACGTGCACACTGGACTCAACACAGACAAACGCCCAGGAACAACTTTTATTTGAAAACATCTGAATTTGTCATTCATCTGTTCTGGTTCCTGAGCTGGTCAATGATATTCCATTAATGTTTAGTTTGGGTAAGCTCCAACATTTATATGTATATACACAAGCAGATTTCTTTTGTGTCTTTGTTCACCAGGTATCATTATGGGCGGATTCTGAAAGAATATGAGCAAAGCGCAGAAAGGCACAGCGACGCCTGTAGAAACTTTGCTTCTCCATCAAGTAAGAATCCTGAGTCATTGGGAAAATGAAAACGACTGAAATGCCTTTTTTTTAATGTAGCTTTGAATGTAAATAACATAATTTGTTTCCTGTTTAAAAGTCTATGTTTATAGGTCACTTCTTGACCTTGGTCCAACCTAAAATGTTTAAAATATTTTATGATCTGTCATCAATTTTTTTTTTATTCGATAAATTTTTCTTCTAATGATTGCTAATCGTCTCCATCTCAACGTCTTTGAGTAACAGCATTTGGGTTGTGGCTTAGGAAATTGAGCTTAGCTCTTTAAAAATCTGGTCAATCACCGTTCATGCAAGACTTGAAAAGAGGGACCACTATTTTGTAACATACACGCTCGGATGGTTTGTGTAGATTCATTCCTAAAATAAGTAAAATGATACTTAGAAAATTGACTTTAATATATTCTCTGATCATCTTTTCAATGGAATATCCCGCTAACTACATGTTTGTCATAAAAACTGTACAAATGATTCATGGATTGAGATGAAAATATGAAGTGAAAAGGTCTGAGATGAAGTAATATTCTGCTGTTAAGTAATGAACCTCATTATACAATGACTGCTGTAACAGATATTTGTGTTGCATTCAACACCAAAATGCAGTTTCACAACACTGACAACAAGATTTTTATATCAAACTCAAACTCGTATGATATCGTTTCCCTCTCCTCTCAGGTCCGTTCCCCCAGCTGATGCTGCTGTGTGGAGCTGATTTCCTTTCCAGCTTCAAGATCCCGGGCCTGTGGCTGGAGGACCATGTGGAGGAGCTGGTCGAACGCTTCGGCCTCGTTTGCGTCAGCAGAGGGAGTCTGCTGCCCGAGCGGGCAGTACACGAGTCGGACACGCTCTTCCGCCACAGGCAGAACGTTTTCCTGGTGAGGGAGTGGGTGAGGAACGAGACGAGCGCCACAGAGATCCGCCGGGCACTGAGACGGGATCTGAGCGTGAAATACCTGATCCCAGACTCTGTGATAGAGTACATTCGCCAGCACAAGCTCTACACAGAGGACAGCGAGAGGAGAAACGAGGGCACGGCGCTCAGGCCGCTTATCAAACAGGCACATCAACCGATAAAGAGTCTGGACGACTGATGAAGCAAATTAAGCTTCCATCCATCAGCCCCGCGTGGAGGATTTGTTGTCTTTAATGTGAGGCAGGTTTGCACTTTATGAAACGGTCTGCAAAAGAGCAGACCATCAATTCTTCAGAAGCATCGCTCCCGTGTCTTTTAATGCGTGCAAACAAACAATATGTTGTAATAACAGAGACTCACAATTAGGGTCACTTTATTTTTACAAAGTTTTCCATCTTATTTCTTCCTCATTATGCGATGAAATGGAATAAAATCTTTGTATTTGAAGCATTTTTTATGTCTCTGTTATTTAATTCTTTCCATTCTCAACCTCACACCCCACTTACATAGAAACTAAGAAAATTGTTTAATTGACAGGGTGCACCCTGGACAGATCGCCTGTCCATGACAGGGGCACACAAGACAAACTGCAACACACACAATCATACAATACAGGCAAACCCCATATCGAAACACCCCGAGTCGGGATTCAAACACAGGACGTTCTTGCTGCAAGGTAACAACGCTAACCATTGTTCAACAGAGCAACCCACATATTTTATAGCCTCAAGAAAATCTCATCAGTGAGTAACTCTAAATAGATGGAAATAGTGTTGTGTCACAGTAGCTCAAACAAAACAATGCCACAAATGAATATGTGCTGTGATCAAAGCTAAAGCAATCCATCATCACTGTAATGACAAAAGTAAAATATTCAAGCTTTCCTTGTAAGGTTAAAAAATACATCTCAGTACATTTAAGGGTTGTTGCTCATTGGTGGTTGAAATAATCCCTCTTATTTTCACTGCAGAGTGATTTTGCACTAACTTTCATGTTCTAGCCTCATCGGCTTGTTAAGCAGAATATAAACTGGTCAACTAGATCGCGTTTTAGAGGACATTGACCTATCAAAGGTCATTTTGGACAAACTACATTCTCATATCGAGCATCTCACTCATGGAGCTTTATATAAAATCAAAAGTGTTGGACTGAAATTCTTACTTTATGATCAGAAGTGTAAAAATACACCTTATTACGTGCAGTAGCCATATTGGATTTTGCTGTCCTGGTTGATAAGAAGCCTCTGATCTTCTTATTCAGAATTTCAACTTCCTGTCTTTTTTTTCTAACTTGCAATTTATGACACTTTAATTCAAAACCAAATGAAAACGTCAAACTTTTGTTGTATTACAGCTACTGGTCCAGCTGTTTCTCTTATTAACTCACCTTTCCCATGAATGAATATACATAACACATTTAACATTTAAGAATGAGCTTTTTTTCTTTCTCATGCTCATGAGGTTTTGAAGTAAATGTTCATCCGTCGGTGTTGCCAGTAGTCCTAGAATGCTGGAAGGACGTTAAAAGAATGTGTTCTACTACAGGTTAGCAGAAGGCCACCACAACATTGTTCGCAGAGATCATCAACTATCTCTTTTTCTCCCCTTTGTCCTTCGGATTCCAGTGTGGGTGTCTGCTCTCTGCCGCTCCTTCCAAACAGCAATTCATTCTGGATCCATTCGGTCTCCCCATTATCCTCCCCATGCTGTGTCTGGGAGGCCGATATTATTTTCACAGAAGGATTTAAAGTAATCCTGACAGTTGCTCGGCTACAGGAGGTGTTTTCTCACCAAGGCCCAGGCCTGCAATTGCTGCCACACTGCTGATGCTGGATGGCATCCTCAGAAAGGATGAGAATGGTGTGCTTGTGTGTGTGTGGGTGTGTGTGTGGATATGTTTGCGCCGTCCTTGCAACTCAAAAGAGAGATTAGCAAATTAATTGAGTTATTTAGGCAAGACAAAAGCAGTGGCAGGCCTATTGTGCTCCATGTAATGGTTTAATTTAGATCGTTTAAAGCTCAGGTGATTTAGCTGTGCTGTCAATGTTCCTTTCTCCGTCCTATCATTTGCATAGTCCCATGCAAAGGTATTCATCCTTTGAATTGTTTCCTCATTTTGTATTGTTGCGATTTCTTAAGAGGATTTTAGGAGTCTACCAACGCAAATGAGCACCCACCAGTAAGCATGCCCTGCAAAAGATTTTTGGATGGCTATAGAAGAATGGCGAAAGGATTGCCAAATTAGAGGAGCAAGTAAACATGTGAAGTCAGGTGCTGGGTATGCTTATCTTCAAGTATAGGGAAGCTGGTCAGAGATTGCTGGGATGATGGATGGAGGTAAACACAGGATAATTGTGAAAGAAAACCTGTTGGAGGCTTAAAAAAAAAGACTTGACACTGTGAGTGAAAGTTCAACCATGAATATAGAAGCACCACCAGAAATGGCATTGATTATCATATATGAATTTATGAGATTGGTCTAACAGAAGTCCAGACCTGAAACCACATGATAATCTGTGGCAAGACTTCAAAATTTACACTCACAGATGAATTGCATCCTATTGGACTAAGCTTGAGTATTTTTTCTTTGAAGAATTAATAATTTTATTTATTTATTTTTTTTTATGGATAAGTCTGGTACAGACACATCCTAAAGAAGATGTCACTTAATTTATTGCACAATGCGATTCTACAGTTTTAAAGTTTTGACTCAGGGAGGCTGAATGCAAACACACTGCATACTTTTCAGATGTTTATTCAAAGGGAAAATTTAAAACACTAGAATTAATTTCTTGCCTCTTTTAACCTCACAACTATCCATTGAATTGTGTGATTGTAATGTGAACAAGAAACGCGAATACTGTTGCAAAGGACTGTAACACACCTCTGGGAGTTTGATGTTCTACTTTTAATTGCCCTGCAGTCAAATTTAAGGCAAATTTTGCATATAAAGCAGGGCTCCCCAAAATGACAGACAAAATATGCTCCAAAAATTGGAACTGCATGTAAAATCAATGTGTTTTTGTTCTAATCCCACATACACAAGCAAGCCAGCATCAGCATAAAGTCTTTGTGTATTTTTTTTTAAATATATTCTATATGCACGCCTCAGGTTCCATGCATGCTGAGGGGATTGAGACATTATAGGGATTATCGGCTGTGGGAGGCGAAGAGGGAGGTGCGAACGATCATTTCAATTAAAAAAAATTAGAGTAATCGGATTAGAGCAAGTTTGGTTCAAATTGGGACTTTTAGCAGCGTTTCCTTCACTCTCCTCCCCGGCCAGCCCTCCTGAAGAGCCGCAGAGCCGCGATGCCCGCCGACATGAATGGATACTGGAAAATGGTTTCCAATGACAACTTTGAGGAGTACATGAAGGCTCTCGGTGAGTTCACATCAGGCCGGCCTCATTTAGATCTGATTAAGCCGATCATTGTCATTAAGTATACTACAATGCACTAATGTGTTGCAATGCATATTGCTGCAGATGTAAATGTTGCCATCAGAAAAATTGCGCTTCTCCTGAAACCCGACAAGGACATCGTCCAGGACGGGGACCACCTGACGATCAAGACCCTCAGTACCTTCAAGAACTACAACATGGACTTCTACGTGGGCAAGGAGTTTGAGGAGGACCTGTCGGGAGTCGACGACAGGAAATGCATGGTGAGTGGATCTGTGCGGAGCAGCACCAGTGGTGCATCGCAGCAGGCTGGTGGCTGAGTTGCTAAAAAAAATGAAAAAATAAAATAAAAATGTGGGCGCGGATAGACTCGGGTGCAGCAATCTGTGGGCTGATTTAGCAGGAGCGCGCCCCTCCACCCCTCTCCACACTGCAGTTTAATGAGCAGATGGTGTGATTAGAGCTGGTCGTTTTTTTTTTACACAACTTTTCCTCCCACTCCAAAACTTTCTCCATAGACTTTTTTTTTAAGTAGTCTTATCCGTGACTGGGTGTAATGAAGACCAACGGCCTGGCACTGCAGGGAGTGACGCGTTGGGACGGGCTGCGTCAAAGTCAGGACTTATTGAACCGGACTGTGTTTCTGAATGCTGAATGGGATCAAAGATTAGCCTGGGATCCAATTGAAAGAGGGGGTTTGTATACTGATAGGCTGATTACAGTAGATAAGCTCTGCACTGTTAGGAGGCCGTTCAATAGAGATTCACGTGTGGGAATAATTGCAAAAGGGGGGAACAAGGGAGACTGGTGTTTAATTTATGGATGTCCGATTAGAAACTCTATTTGTACATTCGTTAGTTTTTTTTAAAATTATTATTTAAAGTTTAATTCACTACCTGCTTCCACAACTTTCACAATTTCAACTTCTTCTTTTTTTTACCTATTCTGGTTGCTTTATTGTTCTACTTGTATGTATCTTTTTTGAAATGTCTCTGTAAGTAATGCATTTTTTTATGTTTATTTTTATGTACCTCCCCCCCCTGACAGACCACCGTCACCTGGGAGGGAGACAAACTGGTGTGTGTTCAGAAGGGAGAGATAGAAGGGAGAGGATGGACCCAGTGGGTGCAGGGAGATGAGCTTCATCTGGTGAGAAAACAGCGGCCCCTGGCATGAATATTAATCCAAGCAATTTAGACACTTTAATCCAGATCAAGAATGGCTCTCGGCACAAGATGTGAAACGCATACATCTCTTCATGTGTGACTCCAGTTTGAATTAGCCAACCAGCTCTACGCCTCCTGAATACGTCCCCCTCAAACCGACTTGCAATAAGAGCAATAAAATATGCACGCATAACACATTCTCAATATTCTGATGTATTTGCAGTTTAAAAAAAGAATAATTTAAAAGATTAATCACAAGTGCATTGACATTTTATTAGTTCGACAATATAAGATTTTCTCCAGTGTGATTACTGCTATGAAAGCAAAATAAAACTAATTCCCCAAATGATTTGGTTTAAGTGATGCCAGCAGATGTTTTCAGGCTGTGCCCATGAAATTAAGCATTACAGGATTTCTCCCAACATTCTGAGGAGCGGCTGATTTCGGGCCAACAGTGACCTCTGGTGGTTGAAAATATATCGCATGTTGATCAAACTATAGCAGACACAATATTTATTGATTTATTTCAATAGTATTTGTTTCACCAAATGGACATATAAATATTACAGTTTTCTGATAGGTTTTCAGAAAAATGGACTGCATTTGTTTGAATGATCCAACATGGATCAAATGGTGTTAGAGCTGCTGACATTATACATTTTAAAAACATTTTTTATGTATTGATTCGGTTTAAGATTGTAGCTAAAACAACATTCGTTTACAAGAAGAAAGGGCATTTATTTTTTTTTTATTGAAAATCTAGATTTATTAGAAAGTAAAGGGGGGAAATGCATGGCCTAATGACAAAAAAAAATCAAAATTGTTTTTATAAATGCTTTTTAATAAATATAATAATGGTTTGTTTTTAAGCTTGATTTGTAAAGGATAAACTGTGTGTTAGAAAAATTATTCTGAGTTAAAAAATTATTCTATTTTTCTTATGTCTTAATGGCATAAGAAAAATATGCCATCCAGACTTTTGACAAGATTATGTGGAAAAATTATGTGAAATCTACAGAACTAACATAGACCAAATAACACTACAAATATCTATTTCAAGTGAGATTTTTCTTCTCTTTTTTTTGGGCCGTTGTTCTAACTTCTTCTTTTAATCAATGATATCAATATTTTTGCAACCACTGCACCAGTTCAAAAGCATGGGGTTTAATGTGGGTTAATGGTGAACTTATGATGAAATGCCCATCAAGTTGACATTGTCAGTGGGAAACTTTGTCTCTTGCCGGTAAATCTATAAATACTGAAATAGTTTTTATTTTTAATTTTTCTTCTGCAGGAGCTGAGAGCCGGAGGCGCTGTTTGCAAGCAGGTTTTCAAGAAAACCTAAACTGGCCTCATTCACCAACACAGAGTGATCCGACAGAAACTGGCTCAAAAAGACACACCAGACCGAGCAACATGACCCTGCCACTGCCCACATTGATTTCACAATTACTTACTTATTGCATTCAATTTGAATTTTTTTGCCTTAGTTGTCAAGCCAGGGAGTCATGAAACAATGAAGTAATACTGTATTACTGTCTCAGGGCAGATGCTTTGATGAGCAGGTTTAGATGAGCTGAACATTTGCACACTGCTTGCTGTAGCTGATCTGAAAGTTGAACCAGATTGAGAAAAAGTTTAGTGGAAATGAGGAAGATCTTTCACAAACAGTTTTTGATGTGAACTGATGACAGCTGAGGGGACCAAATTGAGGGGACCAAATTGCTCTTAAACGATCAAATCCGTCCCCAGATTAAGAATCGAACGAGATGCGGTGCACAGAATGTATTTCTCTGAAATTATTTGAGAGTGAACAGCTGATATTAATAGGAGTTAATCAATAAATGAAGCAACTCTCTTTATGTGTCACGTGTCAATTTCTGTGTCTGGAACCCTGTGTCATGGACTCCAATCTGCAAATCTTGGAGACCATCCTGCAGATTTTACCAATGTCCAGAGCTCAGGGCCACATGCATAAATCAAATTATGCATGTGGCCCCGAGCTCTGCAACAAAACACCTCTGCAATACATGAGTCACTCATCCATTTATTCATTCAAATTTGCCTTTAATGGTTAACACAATTAGAAAGAAAATATTTATTAAAAAATTGGCTTTCTGATTTTTTCCATGTTCTTTACTGGAGTCAAAGTCCACTATAAAACATGACACATAAATATACAAAAATACACTGAGGATAGATTTCAGTTTTCAGGCCCAACCTGCCGTCTAACTCTTTTGTAGACACTGAAATGTTTTCTTCCAGTTTTCACTGTATAAACATGATAAAACCACCAGAGCAGGAAGAGGGTCAAGATACGATATAAGAGGTTGAGAGAGCTCAGTGAATCTATGCATTTTCTCAATACTCAGAACTTTGTAGGCATGAAAAAAGTGGGATCACATGCAGCGTTACCAAAAAGAATGAGATATTGGAAATAAAAATGTAATAAAAGTATCAAACCGCATGTTAAAATAAAGTTTGACTATATTCCATCATTTTCTTGATCTGACACTGAAGTGTCAGAACAGAAAATGTCTCCAGCTACACATTTAGATGATGGAAATAAAAGGCAATCGTTCTGCCCACACTGGGCTCCAAATGAGTAGGCATTGTAGCTCACTGTTTGCATTGCCAACACAAATTTTTCCAGTTTGTTCCAGAATCTCTTCGTTTGTTGTTGCTTTTACTTCTCGCACTGTTTTTCTGCCTCCCATGGTTTTATGCGCTTTCTCAAGTTGCCACGATTTGACCTGTAGGTTGTGTGTATTTATGGTTCCCCAGAGGGCCACTGACTTCTCTTTCTGTTTTTTTTAGGCTAATAAAGATGACGATGTGAGGCTGGGGTCAAAATAAAGTCTGACGCCATAGGTACATTTAAATTTAGCCTCCATAAAATGTCCTTTCTAAACGTTGCATATGCAGTTTTATAACACAAGTCCCCTTAAGCTGCTACTTTTTGTTCCCTTTTAACATTTGACATCACTTATTTCATCTCTAAAGTGTGCAAAGATCCCAAATTTTTATCTAACGTCAGAGATTTTGCAGCAGCTCAGTTGGACAAGAAAGTTGAACAAGTGGTCCACCTTTAATCTGCAAGCTTTTCTCTAATCAGATTGTCCAGCAAACAATGCATTTCCTGTGTTCTAAACTGTATCATGCAGGATTATTTTGCCATAATTAGTTGAACCTTTACTGACCCAGAAATGCTTACACAACATTACAAATCACTGTAAGTACAGATGAGTAGAATCCCTCAACATAAATGTGTATACTTAGCAAAATATGAAAAGAAAATCGACCTTTCACTTGAGTACAATTGTTTGCAAAAAAAAAGATATCAAAAATCACTAGCTAAATAAATAAATGAAATCCATCACTTTTTCTTTCTCTTTAGTAAATCAGAAGGTTGGATCATAACACATTTTGTACAAATGACAGAGAGTGGAATCCTTGACTATTCCTCTTTACACAATTTCTCCAGTTCATCCACAGACACAGGGGTTTCCTCATGGACTCTCCATGGTAGAACCATGGATGCTCAACCATACAGGCTCATTTGAGTTTTTAAAAGATTTAGGTGTAAAATGACCACTGAAAAAGGTTAAAAAAGGTTTGCTTTTCCCCAACCATTTCAGATCATCATCCTGTTTAAAGACCCTCATAATGCCATCAAACAAGGGTAGCAGATTTTTGCTTAAAATCTTAACATTTTTCAAAGAGTATGTGATACTTTGCACTCCAAGAAGGTTTCAAAGGACTTTGGAAAAGAAAGATTACCACCACAAAAAAAAAAAGTCTAATGAAGCATGAAGTTCTTTGAAAAGCATAAGCTGGCATACCTGGTTTTCAGCTTCTACCATACTATGCTTTTGTTTACCCAGGTCAACATTTTTTGATACTAGACTGTAGTAGTTTTTTAAAAGAATATGAATGAATAGTGTTTCAATGTAATAAAGTCTACATAACAATTTCCAATGCAATTTGACACAAATATGCAATGTAACAATATTGATTCTTAGAGAACTAACAGTCATCTTTGCCACTGTGGCACCTTCATTTAAAAACCCTACATGTCACGTCACCATTTACAGAATACGACTCTCGCGAGATTTTCTTTCAGGAAGTTCCACGTCAGTATCCAATGCACTGCTCTCCGTAACCCCCGACCGAAGTGCTAACAACGTTTTTATTCAATCAAACTGCGATAACACGGGGATAAAACATGGTAAGATATATTTTAAAGGCATATGCGTTAATATTGTTTCGATATATTTCAGCTGATATATTTTTTGCCTCGATTATCTTTGAAAATGTTGAGGACATGTCAAATGGGAATAGTCTCTTGGCGTTAGCTTAGCGGCTAAAGAGCTTCAGTTAATATGAGGTAACTTTACAAAAAATGTTAAGGCTTAAATGGTTTCTCGGCCTTAAATGTTAAACCGTTCTTGGTTGAGTTAGGTGTCGTATTTTTCATCTCATAAAGCATATATATTGTATCATTTATGTCGCGTAAAGTGCTTCATTGTTCAGTGTTAGCCGCTAACTGTTGATGTAAATCACATTTGGGTTCTTAGCTGTATGGTGAGTTTTCACCATAGCTGTATGTTGTTGTTTTTTTTTTTTATCTGTAAAGCCTCTGAGGCTGGACATTAAGAGGAGGCTAACAGCCCGATCGGACCGAGTAAAAAGTGTAGATCTTCACCCAACCGAGCCATGGATGCTGGCCAGTCTCTACAACGGCAGCGTCTGCGTGTGGAACCACGAAACGCAGGTATGAAAACGATTTAAAGAGAAGCCAGCGAGTCGGATTGCACAAAACGATGCGCCTGTGGAGTAATGCAATGATAATGATGGTGCATCCTGATAATAAAAATGTTGCTCTTAATAATTATAGCATTGGTGTTGGAGACAAAGGGGATAACATCGCATTCTATGTTCATTAACCTCTGTGTGTGTTTTTAGACTCTGGTCAAGACTTTTGAGGTGTGTGACCTGCCTGTCAGAGCGTCCAAGTTTGTGGCCAGGAAGAACTGGGTCATCACCGGAGCAGTAAGTAACATATTTATTTGTTTATTCACATCAGCTAAAGTGTATAGTAATTATTCCACATTACACTGCGCATTAATTGATGGTTTCCTGCTTCTTTTCTGTCCTGACAGGATGACATGCAGATTCGTGTGTTTAACTACAACACCTTGGAAAGGGTCCATATGTTTGAGGCCCATTCTGACTATATCCGTTGCATTGCTGTTCATCCAACCCAGCCGTACATCCTAACCAGCAGCGGTAGGCTATTGACTAAGACACAATATAGGCTTCTTCTGTGTATATTTTGGTGCACATGAGGATAATTGTGTTTTTGTGTCTGTGCAGATGATATGCTGATCAAGCTGTGGGACTGGGAAAAGAAGTGGATGTGCAGCCAAGTGTTTGAGGGTCACACACATTATGTTATGCAGATTGTCATCAACCCCAAAGACAACAACCAGTTTGCCAGTGCCTCATTGGACAGAACGATTAAGGTCGGTGTCTCGCAACGAGCAAGTTGTCACATTTGCTGTCACTGTAGTCATGTTTTATGCTGATAATGACATCTGATGCCTATCTGAAATGTCTGAAGTATTTCATGAAAACATAACTGTTCTAATCAGGCTTTTTTAGGGGGCTTGCAGACCTCCCAGTTCCCATGTTGACAGATTAGGAGGTATAAGTTTTGATTCCAACAAAACAAGAGATTTACAAGATAATTGCAAATTTTGTATGAATGCATAATATTACTCATTATAATTATTTTATTTCGTTCTATTTTTTGTCTCTGCAGTGCATCAAAGTACCCACAGTCAGTTTATGTCTTTAATAAATAAACATAGTGAGAGTTCTTAGTTTTGAAACTTTTAATGAATAGGGAAAACAATTATTTTACCATTTTTTATGTATCAATCAGAACCAATCAAAGAGAAAGCGTCTTTCTCATCTTTGACTTATTTATTTGTGCACCTCTATAAAATGTGCTTATTAAACCTTATTGTTGAATGTATTATGACACAAGAGCTCGGACTGCATTTCACCATCTGCTAGGGTGCACTCTGTAAAGATCTAGCACATTCTTGTCTTGCACAGGTTTGGCAACTGGGCTCTTCTTCTCCCAACTTCACCTTGGAGGGTCATGAGAAAGGAGTGAACTGCATCGACTACTACAGCGGGGGAGACAAGCCCTACCTGATTTCAGGTGCAGATGACCGCCAGGTCAAGATTTGGGATTATCAGGTTAGAAAACTTATCAATTGTTTTAGTGTGTGTTTTTATAAAAAAAATATGTATTTTTACATATTAAATTTTTTTCACAAACGTTTTAACGTACAACGATCAAAAATTCAGTTTCTTTACATGTCTTTTCTTTATATTAATATTTCTATTTGTTGCAGAACAAGACCTGTGTTCAGACTCTAGAGGGCCACGCTCAGAATGTCTCCTGTGTCAGCTTCCACCCTGAGCTGCCCATAATTATCACAGGATCCGAGGATGGTGCGCAGAAATCCCTCTCATCCTCACACAACGATACCCGTATTTCTGACCAATTAATCATTGATTAACATTTCTTATTTTATTCATTTCTTCCTCAAGGTACGGTGCGAATCTGGCATTCCAGCACATACCGCCTGGAAAGCACACTCAACTATGGCATGGAGCGAGTGTGGTGTG